ATAAAGAATTCAGTAGAGCCAAGTAAAGTGGGAGCCACCTTATAACACCAGGTAACCAGGGAGAAGTTTAAAGCTAGAGGAAATTGGTTTGTTTGAAGGAAATTAAAATCAGAAAATAGAAGGTTTCAGCAAGGATAAGACCAAAGAAAACCACACGGGCAAGATATTAACTGATCAGGAAAATTTAGGAAAGTCTGCTCAGGTTTCCAACAAAATGGGTGAGTTTGTGTGACCAGTATGTAGAACCAGGAAATCAAGGAAATGTTACCAGTGATAACTAAGTTAAACATAGCTGCTCAGTATGGTGGCATGTGCCTGTAGTCCCAACAATTTGGGAGGCTGAGGCAGGAAAATCACCTGAGCCCAGAAGTTTGCAACCAGCCTGGCTCCATATCAAGACCCTATCTTGAAAATAATACTAATAATGACAATGAAAACAACTCCTAGGCTATCTAAGGGCTTAGGTTATGACGAGAAATACATGGATATTAAAAGCAAATATAAAACATTAGCCAGAGCAATCAGGCAAGAGAAAGAAACAAATTAAAGGGGTACATATAGGAAAATAAGTCCAAGTGTCATTATTTGCAGATGGTATGACCCTCTACTTATAAGACCCAAAAAATTTCCACTAAAAGACTCCTAGGATTAATAACCAAATACAGCAATGTAACAGGATACAATGTCAAAAAAACAAAAATCAATAGCACTCTTACGCACTAATAATAAACACACTAAGAAATTAGGAAAATAGTACCATTCATATAGCATCAAGAAAAATTAAATAACTGGGAATTAACCCAACTAAGAAAGTGAAAGACCTCTAAAACAAAATTACATCTCTCTAAAAGGAGACCAAAGAGCACATCAGAAAACAGAAATAGGGGCTGGGGATTTAGCTCAGCAGCACAACGCCTGCCTGGCAAGCACTAGGTCATGAGTTCGATTCCCGCTACCAGAAAAAAAAAAAAAAGAAAATGAAAAGAATCCCAGTTCTTGTCTAGGCAGAACCAATAGTCAAAATGGCCATACTGCCAAAATTAATATACAGATTTAGTGCAATCCAAATCAAAATACCAACACAGGTCTAGAGAAAACAATCATAAAATTCATATGGAGCCAGAAGAGACCAAGAAGAACAAAAGCAATCCTGAGTAACAGTAACAAAGCAGGAGGCATCACAATCCCAGATTTGAAGTATATTACAAAGCGACAGTGATAAAAAAAAAAAACACGGTACTTGCACAAAAACAGAAAATGTGAATCAATGGGAGAGAACAGAAGAAGCAGAACAACTATAATTACATTGAATTTTGACTTCAACAGAGAGGCCAAAAACATAACTAAAGAAAAGATAGCCTCTTTAATAAATAGTGCTGGAGGGGCTGGGGATTTAGCTCAGGGCCAAAAGCGCCTGCTTGGCAAGCGCAAGGTCGTGAGTTCGGTTCCCGATACTGGAGAAAAAAAAAAAAGGAAAAAAAAAATAGTGCTGGGAAAATTGGATGTCCACTTTGACTTCTTGACTTTAATGACACTTTGACTTATTTTCCTATATGTACCCCTTTAATTTGTTTCTTTCTCTTGCCTGATTGCTCTGGCTAATGTTTCATATTTACTTTTAATATCCATGTGTTTCTCGTCATAACCTAAGCCCTTAGATAACCTAGGAGTTGTTTTCATCGTCATTATTAGTATTATTTTCAAGATACGGTCTTGATATGGGGCCAGGCTGGTTGCAAACTTCTGGGCTCAGGTGATTTTGCTGCCTCAGCCTCCCAAATTGTTGGGACTACAGGCACATGCCGCCATACTGAGCAGCTATGTTTAACTTAGTTATCACTGGTAACATTTCCTTGATTTCCTGGTTCTACACACTGGTCACACAAGCTCACCCATTTTGTTGGAAACCTGAGCAGACTTTCCTAAATTTTCCTGATCAGTTAATATCTTGCCCGTGTGGTTTTCTTTGGTCTTATCCTCGCTGAAACCTTCTATTTCCTGATTTTAATTTCCTTGCAGAAGATTGAGTCTAGACCCATATTTCTTACCATGCACTTAACTAAAATCAAAATTGATTGAAGATCTAAATGTTAAAACATAAACACTTAATTTGCTGGAGGATAAATTAAGTACATTAGGAAGATAAATTAGGCAAGCATGTGGCATACATCTTAAGGTTTGTGTCTAGATGCCCCACCCCAAGCCTTATGCAGTCATAGGGTTTTTTTGGAGGTGGCTGAATCTAGAGTGTGTGATTGTGGGGCTGGGGATTTAGCTCAGCAGCACAGTGCCTGCCTGGCAAGCGCAAGGTCATGAGCTCGGTTCCCAGTACCAGAAAAAAAAAAAAAAAATAGAGTGTGTGATTGATTCATAATGCAGTGCTGGGATTAAGGGTGGGTGACTGCTGGATCAGTCCACTGATTGGATTGGCACTGCCCTAATCCCAGTAGACTGATACAACATAAGGGACAGAAGAGGCTTGTCTCTCTCTTCCCTTCCTTGCTTTTGCTGTCTTCTGCCACCATAAACTGCTTCTCCTCTGCAATGCCCCTCTGCCAAGCCACTCTGCCTTGGAGCCAGCCAATTATGGACTGAAATTTCTACAAACTGTGAGCTAAATAAATCTTTCTGTCTTTAACTTTGGGTGTCAGGTATTTTGTCTCAGCAATGAGAGAAAAGTAACCAGGACACACCTATAATCTCAGCACTTGAGAGGCTGCAGCACAAGGACTGCCTGAGAGTTTGAGGCCAGCCTGGGTTACACAGCAATACCCTGTCTCAGAAAAACAATAGGCCAGGGATATAGCTAAGTGGCATAAGTGCCTGCCTGGCAAGTGCAAGGTCCTGAGTTCCATTCCCAGTACTAAAAGGAAACAAAACAAAACAAAACAAACAAACAAAAAAAAACCAACAAAAGAAAAACAAAACAAAACAAATAAAGTAAAACACTTGAAGACAGAGACATAGGCAAGGATTTCCCAAACAGAATCTCAACGGCACAAGAAATAATACCAAGAATCAACATACGGGATTATATCAAATTTAAAACCTTCTGCATATCAAAGGAAACAAACAACAGAGTGAAGAGAGAAATCTACAGAATGAGAAAAAAAATTTTGTCAGCTATTCCTCAGACAAAAAACTAACATCTAGAATATATAAAGAACTTAAAAAAATTAGACCCCCCCAAAATAAAAGACTCAATAAAAAATTGGCACTAAAATGAATAGACACTTTTCAGAAGTATAGGTGGCCAATAAATACATGAAAAAATGTTCAACATCCCTTACCAATAGAGAAATGCAAATTAAAACAACACTGAGATTCTCGTTTACTCCAGGAAGAATGGCTACTATTAAGATATCAAATAATAACAAGTATTGACTAGACTATGGAGAAAAAGGAACCCTTCTCAATTACAGGTGGGAATGTACACGAATAATACCACTTATGGATATCAGTGTGGCAATTCCTCAAAAACCTAAAAATAAACGGTCCATTCAACCCAGCTACTCCCCTTCTAGGAATCTTCCCAAAAGAGCTACAGTCATCATATTATACTGATACATGGATATCCATGTTTATAGCACCATAATTCATAATAGCTTGGAAACAGTCTTTATGCTTATCAAAACATGAATGGATAAAGAAAATGTGGCCTTTATACACAATGGAACACTGTTTTGCCATGAAGAAGGAGAAATTGGAGGTATTTGTCATCAAATGGTTGCACCGTGAGACCATAATGTTCAGTGAAGTAAGTCAGGCACACAAGTTTCAACATGGTATGTTTTCTCTCATGAGACATGCATAATATAAAGAGCAAAATAAAGGATAGACAATAGCACATAGGGAGATCTTTTTCAAATGTGAAGGGCAACCAGAGATGAGGGGAGAGAAGGCAGGGAAAAGGGGCTAAAACATGGAAATAGAGCTTTTTCAAATGGGAAGGGAAATAAGAGTCAAAGTGCACAGTGAGAACTAAGCTGTGTTCTGTGCTCCCCTAGGTAAGCCTGATCGTTCTGCGCTGCAGACGTGTACTCATAAGAAAATAAAAATAATGCACAAATTGTAGGTCATTACAATACCATTGAGGTTTTCACTTCAATAAAAAAACAGTAAGTATGAACAGTTTAACGTTTTTTAATTATTAAGCTAGGTCAGAAAGCTCTGGGTAGTAGTATCCTGATTTATCTAATAACCTATCTATACATGATTTCCTTCCCTGAGATCTGCCCACTGTGTGCATTATATAATGTTTGCACCCTAACACAGTACAAATTCTGCCTAAAGCTATGGCCCTGGCTTATGAAAAGTAAAGCGGAAGCTGAAAGAACCGCCCTTCTCTCCCATGCCCTCTCCCGCTACTTTACCAAGTCTCACTCTGTCCCCTTGTTGTAGTGGGTTAGCAGATGGAATCGGAAGTTATCCCCAAGTAAAAACTGGAACGCTTTATGATGTCCCACCCCAAAGTTACTGTAACACTTACCAACATCTCCATAAACATACAGGCCCCTTGGAGGCTTGCTCCTTGAAAAAAGCTGCAAATTAAGAACAAATTATAAATCTCACCACGAAAATAATTAAATGTATTCATATATATAATGTTCCTAATTATGCTGTCTACAGGATTTGGAGAGACTATTATACAAGGAGGAAGGAAACTTGCTGTTAGAGACTGTGATCTTCTTACATGCCTACCCTTGCAATGTCAGGTCCAAAAGAGGAGGCCGTGCTGGGCCGCTCTGCCCTGAGCTAAGCGTCTCCGGCCAGCAGCAGGAAGCAGGAGGCTGGAGCTTCTCCTGTGCCCCAGAAAGCAAATCCTGTCCAAATTCAGATGCTTCCATTCCCACTCTTGAACTACACAAGTCAAAATTCTAAAAAGGAAGGAATTTAAACACACACAAATACACACTGGCAGGCAATACAGTAAATGAAGCAGAGCATTTCAGAATTTGAGGCGTACATTCTGAGAGCCTAAAACTTCATCATCTCATTCTGAGAAAGGAACTCCATGTCTTTGTCGCTTAGCTTTCGCATTTGAAAATGGAAAATACAAATATGAGCGCTTTGCAGATTAAGTAATGTAGTTCAGGCCTATATACACGTTATAACCACAGTAAACCATAAAAAGTAAGCAAATATTATTTGTAGATGATTTTTGTGTAACAATATGTCACATAATTGACACTGTTTGAAATATCATTAAATTTAAATTAAAAGTGAAATTTTAATAAAACTTTAAATTTATTTAATTCATACTTACTATGCATATCTTTCACTAAGCTAAGAAACCATTCATTTTGGCTTTTCAGTATACACTTTGTGATCATTTCAATACATTTTTTTTTTTTTTTTTTTTTTTTTGGTCTTTTTGAGACAGGGTCTCACTGTGCAGTTCAGACGGGCCTTGAGCTCACTTTGTAGTCCAGGCTGGTCTCAAACTCGCAATGATCCTCCTGTCTCAGCCTCCTGCGTACTGGGATTACAGGCCTGTGCCACCACGCCCAGCTCAATACATTTTCAATACATTTCACTGCTGTTAAGGCAGGATTTGCCACTTACATGTTCACCGTTGAAAATTTTAAGATTTGATAATAAAACACAAAGGGAATGGCTATGTGTCTATGTAATAGCAAATATACAGCCAACTTGGGCAACTTTTTATAGTTGATGTTTGACTAAGAAGCTTGATTCTTATATGGGTAAAGGCCATTATGTAGGGGAAGTGCCTCTGCAATTGGGTCAAGATAGCCGTATTCATTTTATCTTTGTTTAAAAATCAAAATCAAGGTAATAATCTTAGCATTTGCTACAGCCAACCAAATCGGAAGGAGAAATGTTTAACGGCTTCCAAACTCCCTAAAAACAGAGAGGGTAGAACTGCAAATGAATAAACGTGACTTCACAGTGTTGGTTGGAGTCTCGAAGAGTACTCTGCCCAAAACTGTTACTACAAAAAATTCAGAGGGTGGAAATAAAATGTTCACAACGCAGGCAATTAGTTAAATGTTGCAGAAGAACTTTAACATCTATGGCAGTGCGGCAAACCCATGGCACGCGTGCCACAGTGGGCTGTTTGTTATTACTGAAAGCTCTAAAAGGTTCGCCATCATTGACCTATGGTATTTTTCATTTAATGATGAAAAAGACCGAGCTAGCCTTCATCTGTTTTCAACAAGTGAATGTTTGAGTGTATGAGCTTTTATCTCCTAGAGACCTCAGATATTCTCCAGGGGAGGAGTCAGAGCTGCTTGAGATGCTTTTCACTGTTCCTGAAAGGAGATTCCCTACATGTATGTCCACCTGCCAGGCTGCACTGGGACAACCTGTGTATTCCGCGATGGCTGTTTCCCTTGTGCCCTCCTCAGGACGGCACACCAAAACTTTACCAGCAATAGGGTGTGCTGCGTGGTGAGCAGCAAGGAACTGCTCACATCCAGGGAGGCCCAAACTACTGCAGGTGACTTAGCTTGATGGGCTACGCCCAAGGATTCCGGCAGCATCCCTACACAAGAATATTCATAGCTATGCAAAGTGGTGAAAAAGTCCTAAATGTTCAAAACCCTGAGAATGGGTACATATGTTACAAAATATTCAAAGTATAGAAAAATCTAGATATTAAAATCTAGGTATATTAAGGAAAAATGTGAAGAACACATTGGTTAGTTATAAATAACTGAAACCACAGATAAGGAAACACGACTGTACTCCGAGTCTTCTAATTTGGGAAGGCAATCTAATTTTCTCATAATAAATTTTCAGTCTCCCAATAATTACTGAAGTTATTTTAAAGGATTTAAAAGTCTGTACCTTATGGGGAAAATCAGAGGAGAAAATGGAGAATGGTAACACTATTTAAAAAGCTGTAAAATGGGTCCTAAAAGAGCTTTTTGTTATTGCCAGATGTGTACTGTATTCCTGTATAAAAATCCCACAAGAGTCACAGGGGTAAAAGCCAGGCAGCAGGCTGCAGCGTAAACTGTGTTACCCGCGTGGCCGCATCGGGACTCACTGTCTCACTGCTCAGCCACGCACTAGCAGCTGTGGGGATCTCACTGATGGACGTTAGGGTCCACTGACATCCATGGGTGGTTATGGACACAGATTAGACACCTCCTTCGGTCACAAATTATTTAACCTTTGAAAATTTGACGCACTTATCCTCTGTGATTGGGGCACAGGAACCCTCCCAGGGCTCCCTTCCCCCTCTCCTCTCCTGGTCTGCTTTCTCCACGGGTGCCTTCTCACCAGGTATACATATCCCTGGCCTTGCACACAGCCTCGTCTCCAATGGCCTCCTAGGATGGGAAAGACATGTGGGAGGTAAATCGGGAAACTTTGTATGTGGGGAAATGCACTAAAGAAGCTTTCAAATTCACTACTAATTGTAGCGATTTCAGGGACAGTCGAGTTCACAGTTTTCTTTAAAGTGACTGTCACTTCCACAGGAACCCACATCACGGGCATGCACCCAGGTGACATCTTCATACCCTTTCAGCTTCATTAAATTTCCTGTCATGTTTTAATGTCCTATCATTGTTGCTCTGTCTCAGAAATCACACATACCTGTGTAACGCTCACCATGGACTCCACTCTTGCACTGTTCCTCAGCAGTTTTCTACAGGCTCCTCCCCCAGGCCTTCTCTGTCTGTCCTGTCCCCAGGGGGCTGACCCTGCTGGCTGGCCCTGGCTGGCTCAGCCGCTGGAGGCATTACTTGCAGGAGATAGGACAAGCAGTAGGGAGGGATCTTGTCTTTCTCCTCTGTCCCCTTCTGGTTTTCAGAGCCGTGGCTACATCTGTCCAGAACCATAGAGTCGTTCATCCCTCAGGCTACACCTCCAGCGGTCACAGGTTCTTCCATGTTGCACTACCTTTTGTTTGCCCCTTAAGACTGACCATACCTCTTTTTTTTTCTGAAATGAGTGGATTTAATGTAGTTTTTTTCTACATTACTGAGAAATAATAATCACCAATAGGTGACTGAGGGTAGTTTGATACATTCATATAATACAATACTGACACAGATTTCAAAATATACTGTATTGCCAGCAGTGGTGGCACACGCCGGTAATCCCAGCACTCAGGAGGCTGAGACAGGAGGATCGTTTCGGGTTCAAGGCCAGCCTGGGCTACAAAGTGAGTTTAAGGCCAGCCTGAACTGCATAGTGAGACCCTGTCTCAAAACAAACAAACAAACAAAAATATATATATATACTGTATTTACAAATTGGAGGATTTAACATGCAAAGATGTACAGAGGTAGGAAAAAGTACAAGTAGAAAACACAGTACAAAGTAACTTGTATCTTAGGGAATTTATAAAGAAGGATGACGACACCTTTTCTAATGGGCTTTTGATGAGGGTCCAATGATACCATCATTTAGATTGTGCAGATGGTAAGTGTAAGGATTATACTGGAAGACAGTAACTACCGCCTACTTCCGCCAAGCGTAAGATACGGCGGAAGGGTACTGAAGGTAAAGGCTAAGAGTTTGAGTACAACCCTGGGTCCGACGTTTACTAGCTATGTGAGCTGAGTAAGCCACATTAGCCCTCCAACTGGCTGCTTCTATATCTCCTGGGGGCAGGTATGGCGCGGGGACTGCCCACACACTGCCCGCTTCTGCAGGTCTAATCGCGAGGCCCGCTCACTCACACTGAAGACCGAAAACTGCACATACTACTGCCACCTTTCACACCGGGCCAGGCACACAGCCTCAGCACACCCCTCCTAAAGATCTGAAAACTACAATTAGTAAGCCCAAGCAATTTTACACATATATCAATTCTATACTCCACAAATTAAGGGTATCCTTATGCAATCAGGCTGGCCTGAGCTCACTTTGTAGCCTAGGCCGGCCTCAAACTCACAAGGATCCTCCTGCCTCAGCCTCCCCAGTGCTGGGATTACAGGCATGCGCCACCACGCCCAGCTTCTTGTAACCCTTCTTAACAATGCTGTTCTGAGGGGCTGGGGATTTAGCTCAGAGGCAAAGCGCCTGCCTGGCAAGCGCAAGGTCGTGAGTTCGGTTCCTGGTACCAAAAAAAAAAAAAAAATGCTGTTTTGTCTTATTTATTTCTACAATCTTGAAGAATAATATCTTTGTTTTTGTTTTTTTGAGACAGGGTCTGACCTTAAACTCACTATGTAGCCCAGGGTGCCCTCAAATTTGTGGTGATCATCCTGCTTCAGACTCCCAAGTGCTGCGATTTCAGCACGCATTCCCACGCCCAGCTAAGAATAATATCTTATAAGCATGATATAAACTCAGAATTTATAGGGAGAAAGTTAGATACATCAAAAATAGTGAAATTTAAATTTTCTGTTTGGAAAAAATGCTACAAAAGAAAAAATGGCAAATAATAAGCTGTAAAAAAACTGCAACTCTATATACAAGAATTGATTTTTCTGATGAAGGGTTTTTATTTATTTGGGGGGAAAATAACTTTTTTGCTGTTTATAAACCACCCTGTCTATAGTGAGAGCAGCTCATATTAAGCTATTTCTTAAGGCTTTCACATTTTATTTTAGTATTT